TACTATTCCCATAAAATATTCAAAACATGTATATTAAATATAAATCCAGTAAATATTCACTAATATTAACCCTGTCTGAACTTGTCTAGTCAATATAACATGAACAAACAACACACATACAAACCTTATCGCCAGGACAACTTCCTTTCTAAATATGAGTAAAATACATAGCTTCACAAGTGTCATACAGTACCAATTTTATACTGAACCTCATACCTAGTTAAGAGTAACTATAGTCAGAGAATCTTTTAGTACTTTTATTACCATTAGGAAATAAATCCACACCTATAATATCAATATAATTAAATATTATTAAAAGCAGTAATATACAAAGAGTTGTTATTGTCAGCTTGCTCACTACAATAAAATCAATATTAAAGTTTATAATAAATCAAGACAAATTATCTATTTACACAATACAGGCTTGTTTACCATAAACACCCCACAGTCACATGAATTTATCTACTAACACAATAATGTATTAAAAGTATTACATCCACATAAAATCACTTACAACAGTTAAGCTGTCTCTTTGTACATCTGGTGTAAAACAAATCCCCACATGTAGTCATGGATAATCAAATATAGACTAAGAATCATTAGTCTGGTCGACCGAGTAATGGTATGAAAACACTTCACCATGAAGCGTTAAGTATGAATAGATATTCTAAACCAACACTGTAGTAGTGTAATAAATACAAATATTTCATCATCATCATCGTCTCAACCATCACCAACCCACGACTGAACACAGGCAATTTCTACCGACTGACACAAGGAACGGCCCCACAATACACATAAAACAGTCACTCCAAACAATGGAGGTAGCCCACACCGCACTTGCATTTACAGGGTCGCCACTCAATAACCCCTCTCTCTCATCAATGGCTGTTTCCCCAGCAATGAGACCAGACCATAGTCACTTTAGTCTATTATCCTCAATAAATAAATACTTTATAATAACTAGATATGAAACTAGTTAGTATTGTAATAGTTCAATAGTTGATTCAATAAGTATTTTCCAAAACTGGACAATTAGAACATTGAATCAAATTGATGAAGTTCTATCAAACGACCATATAATTGGATTTTGTATATGAGTAAAATAACGTAAGTACGTAAATTATATTGATGTAAAATTTGTTCAAATGTGATTGCATTTAACGATATACGCATTACCTAAAGGTATATGGACTCGACTAAATACGTATTTTAATAGTTGTTGGGAAAAATATTAAGTATAGACTTTGCCTGCGATCACAGTCAAAAATCTAACTACGTAGTAATAAATGGAACAAGCTCACCGGATTCTCCAGTCTTCTATTGATTAATTTCACACACTTAATCGATAGTGATACACTAAGGTCTCAAACCCCTTCATCGATCCAGTCCCTCCTAGATCTATATCCCAGTTATTTTTTTATTTTATTGCGCAATCCCTAAAACACGACTCCCCGCCATTTGCCGTCCTTTTTTTTTTTTTTTTTTTTTTTTTTTTTTTTTTTTTATGGCGCAATTCCTAAAAAGCGACTCCCGCGCGCCCGCCGATCTGTCGTCTCTCCCTTTTTTTTCTTTTTTTTCTCACCTAGTAACGTCATAGATTATGTCACCGAAGGGTAGATATTTCAATAATCGGATTTAGCCTATTATTCGAACTGAACTTTTCTTTAAATTCAATTTAATTATATGTTAACGTATTTTGGTATTTTCTATTAAATTGATTATCGAATTTATAAAACTTTAAAGGCTCTCATAAACCTTATTAAACTGTGTTATATGCATCCTTTTTACACCTGATGAGAAAAAGGTAAACTATAATTTGGTTAATATAAAATATAATATATTTTTGTTTAATTTATTTAATTTTCTTGTGACGTCCACTACACTCTGGAAACACATCAAAGGAGTTTCCCTTCTGTGTCAATATTTCATATATGGTAACGTCTTCTCTGTATACTACTGTGAACCTTGACTTTAAAGTTTGTTTATATTAAATAGCTCAGCTTTCGCAGCGGTCACCCATAGGAACCCCTGTTTCTTTTCTATGTACTTATGGTATTAAACCTATTGTACTATAGGCGAACCGTCACAACACCTTTTATAGATTCCGGTTATTGCTAACATTAAGTATTATGGAAACGTGATAATTGGCAGCACGACTCGAGTCAAGTCGATTATTTATTTGCACAAACATAGGTTAATTACATTACATGATATTATATATAAAATAAGGTCGCTATGTCCCGTCGTTATTGGGCATACGAATATTACGAAACCCCTCACCAAAGTAAGTAGGTACTTAGTAGGCATGGGTAATATATAGCCACCGATCCGATATCTATATATTGGGTTCTGGACATTGATGGTGGGAAAAGGTCACCACTCATATCGATATCACGAAGCGGAGTATATAGTAATATTGGAGGTGATAAGAGAAGCGGTGTACGTCCGCGCCTTACTCTCCGAGCTGACGGGGCATATTAACGCTATCGTATAATACGAGGTCTGTCCGGAAAGTTCGTATAAAAGTGTTCTGGAATGCGAGAAAGAGGAGTGGGGAGGCCAGGTAAGCGCAGGACCCCTTCCTTATGTCCCTAACAATGCTTCAGTTCTGGTCTGACCGCCGTGCGGTGCGAACTGGCTTGTCACGCCATCTGTGAAGTTACCTCTTAACGAAACCCCGTCGGCATGGAGCCCGCTTCCGTTGAAGAGCAGCGCGTCGTAATCAAGTTTCTCTCGAAACTCGGCAAGAATGGCCGTGAAATTTTTGCCGATCTCAGAACAGTTTATGGGGATGATGCTGTGAAGGAACCAACCGTCCACAAGTGGCTAAAAAGATTCAGAGAGGGCCGAGAAAGCGTTCAAGATGACCCACGTTCAGGACGTCCTTCCACTTCACATTCCGACGAATTCGTCCCTCCAGGCCAGACAGTTGATGGAAAATTCTACGTCGATGTGCTCAGACGCCTCAAAGCTCGTGTGGCACGAGTTCGTCCAGAATTGGCGCGAGAGGGGCGTTGGATTCTTCACCACGACAATGCCCCTGCCCACACCTCTCTTGTTGTCCGTGAGTTTTTGAGTAAAAATTCCATTACGGTGACCGAACACCCCCCTATTCGCCGGATTTGGCCCCGTGTGACTTCTTCTTGTTCCCAAAAACCAAATTGGTACTTCGGGGGCGGCATTTGGGGGACATAAATGAGATAAAAAAAGCTACGACGGGGCAGCTGAGAAACCTACAACCAGAGGACTTTCAAGGAGCCTTCTCACAGTGGAAACGGCGTTGGCACAAGTGCATTATGTCACAGGGGGAGTACTTTGAAGGGGATAAAATTGATTTACCTGAATAATTGTAAAATAAAATTTTTAAAAAACTTTTATACGTACTTTCCGGACAAACCTCGTATTGCGGCAGTCAGTCAGCGGTCAAACAGCTGCTGGTCTACATCCAGGATTAAGAGGGCGTATTGGAGTTTTAATACTGGCTGTTGACACTGAGGTTTTTTGGAACAATGTGTTATTTTGAAGTTAGTTCTGTGTCAGATTTTTATGTCTCGTATTTTTTTCACTAAACTTATTATTTTATATCATAAATACATATATATATATATATATATATATATATATATATATATATATATGTTTAATTATTGCGTACTGCTATTTACAACATATTACTTAGGCGCTATCCTTTTATATTCAGTCTCTATACCTGCGGTAAGTTAGTTAAGTAATTAATAAAATAATAAAATATTGTATTAAAAATAATAACCCGGACTTTACGACTGGTTGGGGCCGATACAAGAGTAAACGGTTTCGATTAAAACATGCTGGTTAGCCATTCGTGCTTTCTATTGGAGTTCAGAGATCAAATATCACCGGGGGTCCTATTCTATCTACCCTACTCTTAGGTGGAAAAAATCTGGCTAGAATCAGTTAATCATTGTGGGTATTTACGATTGAAGTGCTTTTATTTTTGGGATCAGTATACAGGTCTAAATTATCAGCGATTCGTAAAATTATGGAACTAAATATGTTATCAACATTTTAGGTTAAAAATTTCTTGAGTAAAAAATTCAAAAAAACGACAAATTATTTTCGGCCTAATTGTTTAACCGTTAAACGCGCCACTTTAGTTTATATTTAGTTTAAATGGTACTAAAAAATTATAATTTTTTTAATGTATGGTATTTGCATGCTTATTAAATAAATAATAATAGTATGAAAGTCTCAAAGTTTTTTGTTGTTTTTTTGTCTAGTCATATCTGTGCCTCTAGTGAGAAAGGGTATAACTCAAGTTATAGCCTTTTTCTTTTTTAGGCTACTTTAAATAAGCAATTTTTTCTCTTTCGAATGGTATAAGAATCGTAACGATATCTTTAAAAACAATAGAGATAGTAAACATATAAAAGGCTACAATTAACAAAATATTTGTGGTAAAAAAGTCATAATTAGAAATAAAACTACAATATTTTACAAAAATTATTTTTGTAAAATGAATCAGTTCGATTTGAACCCTTTTACACCATTTAATAGCGATTATTTTTTTATAGCGTAAAATACACAACATTGTTTTTCTTCAATACTTCAATAAAATCGTTTTAATTCGACTTAAAACTATTTTCACATGATAATTTTAATATTTTTGTTAAGTGTGACTAGGTATAATAGAATTATTTTTAAAACTATAGGTTTTACACAAAAACCGACAATTTCATAAGAAAGAGGAGAAAAAATTACTATAAATGCAATCATTGACTTGTTCAATTAGCAAATAATAAAAGCAGCAGAATTTTTTTTCTTTATTTAAAATAGTTTTTTGGCTCTCCTGAAAAGTGACCATTTTGAATTGAGCCCTTTCTCACTAGAGGCACAGATATTTCTTTGGTTGGTAAATATCGAGGTAAGGCACTGCTTTATATGAATGCTAGCGGTTTAGATTTGTTGAGGTGACCAGTGTAGATGTGTAACGCGTGTGTGTGGCGGCGTGGTGGCTGCAGGTGGGGCACGAAACGATCGAGTCGTCGGAGGACGCGGTGCTGCGGCAGGACATGCCGGGCGCGCTGCGGCGCGTGGAGACGGCGGCCACGCTGCTGCAGCAGGCCTCCGACATGCTGCGCGCCGACCCCTACTCGGGGCCCGCCAGGTGCGCGAGCGCACGCCGTTCATATTAGGGAATCACTAATAAATCTAATCAAGTTACTATATATGTATGCCTATTGGGGATGTCATTGGTTTGTGGTACATCGGGAATGTTCTTCGAAGTTGCGTCGCGTACAACGCGGTTTCAGAGATGTTTTCTCCCACGAACACTCAGGTTATGGAATGAGCTCTCCGCCGAGGTTTTTCCCAGAGACTACAGCATGGGGTTCTTCAAAAGGGGGGTAAAGAGGTTTCTTCAGGGTCGGCAACGCGCGCGTAATAACTTTGGTATTGCAGGCGTTCATAAGCTACGGTAACCGCTTACCATCAGGTGGGCCGTATGCTTGTTTGCCACCTCAGTTGTTATTAAATGCTGTTGAAATAATAATAATAAATCCTTTAATCAGATGAACAGGACACGCACACAATTTTTATACAATATAATAATAATAAATTCCAATTAGCTATCTAACCTACTTTTTTATATATTATCCAGCATGTGAATCCACTATGATTCAAAAACTGGTCCGCAAATACCTTAAAATAGTGTTAGAACTGGTCCGGATTCTACCCACTGTTTTAGCATTGTAGCATAAAAAAAATCGTTGAAGTTTCTACTTTAACGATTTTTTTTATGCAACTTAGAATGGCAAACAAGCTGACGACCCACCTAATGGAAAGTGGTAACCGTCGCCTATAGACATGAGCAGTACTATGGACATAACAGAGTATACTATTTCGCCCATAATACCCCCCATGCGTTGCCATTCCTGAGGACTCAGGTGTTATTCCTCTGTACCTTATAAATTCACTGCTATATCCCACCTTTCAAACCGAAACACAGCCATGCAAACAACTGCTTCACGGTAGAATCACGAACGGGACAGAGGTGTCCAAGCAAACGACTTTTGTACAAAGTCTCCCTCCCTTTAAGTTTTATGTATTCCATCTTAATAAAATAAAAAATACTACAATACTACATAATTGTGTACTGAACTATGTTGTTTCATTTGTGATTGCAAGAAGTATGTAACTGGTGGATCGCACAGGGTTTCGTCAGTAAACAGTAGCTCTTGGGTCTAGTCGAGTCGGCCACCCCTGGTATAGAGGCATAACACTTTAGTAATGGCAACGCATGAGGGTGTTTGCTATTCAAAGTTGTATAAAAAATAAATAATAATTACTCGAATAGACTAGTTCATGAACAGCACGCGTTCACTAGTATGACGCATGTCGGTCAAATTAATAGTGGCAAAAACATTTCAGACCCAAAGTTAGATTGGCCATTAGCGTAGAACCGCAGATAAGCGACGTATTAATGAACTATTAACTACATGGAATATTATTTATAAAAATAACATTGGAGGGAGATTTGTTACAATACTCAATATCTCTGTTACTTTAACCAAAACACTACACTGCTACAATCTTTACTAATATTACAAATGTAAGTTTGTTTGTTACTTCTAGGCGCCTTAATGACTTAAGCAATACTTATAAAAATATGGATTCTATATTTTCCAAATTTTCATCATTACATATTAAAAATAGTTTATTTTCTATTTCAGGATATTGTAATATATCCATTATCATTGTACTGCTCATGTCTATAGGCGACGGTTACCACTTTCCATCAGGTGGGCCGTCAGCTTGTTTGCCATTCTAAGTTGTATAAAAATAAATCATTATCATATATTGTAATATGTAGTTAAAATTGAATAAATATACCTATGTAAATTCAATGGTTACTATTTGCATGCCATTTGATGTGGCGAAACATAATGGGCATCTTGTAAACTTGACAAATGCAACATCTTATCTATGATGTTTATGGCAAATAAATTTATTTTCATCATCATCGTCATCATCATCATCATCATCACCATTAGCATCGAGTCTAGGCAATCAATATATATAACGAAGACGCAGTCGCGAGTAAATATTCTATTTATTCTATTATGTGTACGGTGCTGTTCGTTTCTATAGATGACGGTTAAACTATATGAGAAAAATCACATTTCCTATTTAGGAAAAAGCTGATAGAAGGTTCGCGAGGCATCCTCCAGGGGACGTCGGCGTTGCTGCTCTGTTTCGACGAGTCCGAAGTTAGGAAGATCGTCAAAGAATGCAAAAAGGTACGATTTATTATATGGTAGCCGCTTGTACTCTCAATGAGGATTCTCTTTATCAAATCATACTAGAAATTTTATTTGAAGCTAAAGAGGTGAATTGTCAAAGTAAAGAATTTTGTGCAGAGATTCATGCTTCTACATCGACCAGATGTATGTAGGTTATGTATGTAGGTTTTTATATGGATGATAGTGGAATGATAACCCTGCCTGCGCTAACGATTTACGCTGACTGAACATCAGTGAGGGATGTTAGGTGAGAATGAAAAGGCAGGTCAGTTACTTTATGATTTCTTACATGCACTTTACCCCTAAATATATATACTCAATGTGTCCATTAGAGGAGGCATACTGTTACTCGTATCAAATGGTGAGGACGGGATGCCTGAACATATGCACCTGCAACTCTTCTTCTTTCCGTTTAAGAGTTTTCTCTTGTCGGTGCAACTAATTCATGCATCTTCTTCCAGCCAGTTTTATCCCAGGACATATCCTTGACCTCCCTATACGACATGACACCTAGTGTTTCTTTTATCTGTACCATGTAGTTATTCCTCGGTCTTCCTCTTTCTCTTTTGCCCTCTATTTTTTCTTCTACTATACTATTTAAAAATCGCAATCTCATATAAGAAGGCCCAGCCTTTTGCCTCTTCTATTCTCTTTTTAAATGTTCGTTTCTCATTCACCCTTTTCTCTCCAGCTATAAAAGCACCTCCAACTATAATAACAAAAATGTACGTGCCTTCTACTGAGCTCCTACAGCCTCAATGGTTGCTTACTGCGCGATTTCAGAGATGTTTCCTCCCACGAACACTCAGGTTGTGGAATGAGCTCCCTGCCGAGGTTTTCCTAAGAGAGTACAGCATGGGGTTATTTAAAAAGGGGGTACAGAGGTTTCTTCGGGGTCGGCAACGCAAGCGTAATACCTCTGGTATTGCAGGTGTTCATAGGCTACGGTAACCACTTACCATCAGGTGGGCCGTATGCTTGTTTGCCACGTCAGTGGTATAAAAAAAAAGAGCTACGAAGAATTGTCTTTATTATAATATGTCTTCATAGTGTACGTATAGTAATGTTTGCATAATGCATCTAGTATGTGCTAGTAGCTAGCGTTGGCTATAGTGTTCGCTGGTGGCCCTAGGTGCTGGACTACCTGGGCGTGGCGGAGGTCATCGACACCATGGAGGACCTGGTGCAGTTTCTCAGGGACATCTCGCCGGCGCTATCCCGTGCCGCGAGGGAGGTGAGATCGTTATTTAGCTATCTTTCTTGAGAATTCTTCTGTTTTGTTATTCTTGACTGGGTGTTATTACCTGCTATTTTATTTTTTATAATATAAAATATAGAGATTTTCTTGTAAATTTAAAAGTAAATGTTTTGATATTTTGTATGTAAGAGCAGTAGATTTTGTAACCAAAAAAAATAATTTTTAAAATTTTGTCATGTTGTAATTATTTGAGGTGAGTTTAGTAAGCTATAATCTACGGCGTATTGACAGAACGCCCAAAGGTTCTTTTGTAGGTAAACAGATAATTGTCTTGTAAATTTTACAAACAATTAAACCGCGCATATGTGTTAGACGGAGATAGTGATGCAGAAAATATCGTAGTTTAGTAGTCAAGTATGGTTTATTTTTTAATGGGTGATAATGGTATGGTAACGCTGCCTGCGCTATTGGTACACACTGGCGGGGCACCAGTGATAGATGACTGATGAGGATGAAAGCAGGTCAGTTAGCCCATCCTGACGAATTCAACTGGAATTAAACACGATGGTTTCCAGGGGGATCATGATAAATGGGGCTATATGACCCCATTACTTACAACCCCTTTCCCCCCCTAGCACGATTATATCGGTGTGTGCAGGTGGCGGCGCGCGCGGCCGAGCTGACGCACCCGCCGCACGCCGACACGCTGGCGCGCTGCCTCGACAGCGTCAAGCAGCTCGCGCCCGTCCTCATCTGCGCCATGAAGATATACATACACATCCTCACCGAAGGTCAGCACCGCCTGCTGAACATGGGCCTAGACACTAGCTGCCACGCTGGGCAGGCGGCTTTCGTGATGTCTTAAAACGGACGCTGCCATCCATCGCTCGACCCATAAGTTTCGCTTCTTACGATGTCCAAAAAAAAGGAAGGGGTGGCCCATTCTAGACTGGGACCACACAGCAACTTGAACTTCAGAAATACCAGTCTAGTATTGCTAACATTTGTAAAAAAATCGATCTCAAGTCAAAATATATAGTTGTATTGTCAAACCTGAACTGAATACGCAAGTAAACAGCTTGGTACCGCATCACTTTTGTTTCTTATTGCTGCCAGATGAATATGACAGGAAACAAATAATATCCCAATTATTGACACCAGTTGATCTTGCAGGTGGAAAGGGCATCGATGAGGCGGCAGAGAACAGAAACTACCTGGCGCAGAAGATGGCCGATGAAATACACGAAATTATACGGTGAGTGACCATCTACTACTCTAAGCTCTCGTTTGTCCATATTTAAATACGACTTTGTAAAAGTGTAGAGATTTCACTAAAAATCACAGAACAGATCAGGGCAGAGCTCAACTTGAGAGAGGGTCAAGATAGATCACAATTGCTGAAGATGACCAGAGTTGACCATGCAAATAAGTCACCTGTTAGAATGTGGTGTCATCATGGCATCCATCATGCATTACTGTTTTCGAACCCTTCAAACCTTCAGCGCACTGCTCATTGGTGAAATAGACAAGGCAGTATCTACCCATAACTCGTGCTATGGAGGATATTTGAAGCTATCAACTGTAGACTAATAGATGTACAGTGGGATTGAGTGCTATGTTCAGGGGTTTTCTTTCCTTTACTCGTCCGAGAGTATCGTGCGCGAGCTAGTTGGGCTATAACGTTTGATTGTGGATCCGCCAGCGTGCTGCAGCTGACGTCGTACGTGGAGGACGGCGGCGAACGCGACAACATCGCCGTGCTGAAGGCGCTGCAGGCGCACATACACAACAAGATGGCCGCCGCGCACGAGTTCCTCTCGGTGAGTAGATTCAAAAGGGATGTGACTTCCTTGCCAATTGATCTTTAAAACGAATATGTGGGGCATAGGTCTCTCGTCCTGTGAAGCAGATATAGTCTTTTATTATTATGTTAGAGGTATCGGTATAAGGCTTTTTTAGAGTCTTGCCATGTCATGGGGTCTCGGCATGGAATGGGCCTCCCTTTCTTTTTCCGTGGATGTCATAAAAGCGATTAAGGGAATTTAATTGTCGAGGTATGGGCGTCCTTTTTAAAACATCATTAAAACTTAACTGCGGTTGCCAACTTGCCTCCCAAGCATGGTAAATGCTGGTAAAATCTCCCTGATAGGGAGACGCCTATGTTCAGCAATGGATAATTAACGGTTTCTATGATAATGATGTTAATCAGCCTATACTTATAATTGGAGATATTTTTTTTTATGAGTGAAAGTGAAGCACCAGTGAAGGGTGATAGAAGAGAAAAAGAACAGGTCAGTTAGCCCATCATGATGAATTAATCAGGAATTAATCATGATAGTTTCCAAGGAGAACTGTGAGGAGGTCGACCTGGTTGGGTATATTGTTAGCAATGGGATTCTCAGTCTCCATTATTAACAATCCCTTTCCCCCCACTGGAGATATATTACAATATATATGTATATGCGTAGGAGCCGGACGCGCTGCGCAACAGCAGCGGCGAGCGCGCGCTGCGGTCGGTGCTGACGGGCGGGCAGCGCGCCGCCGAGCACCTCGAGCGGGCGCCCGCCGACCGCCTGCGGGCCGCCGTACGGTAGGTGGACAGCGGCACCAGCACCAGCACCAGCACCAGCACCAGCACCAGCACACTACCAACAGCAGCGGCGAGCGCGCGCTGCGGTCGGTGCTGACGGGCGGGCAGCGCGCCGCCGAGCACCTCGAGCGGGCGCCCGCCGACCGCCTGCGGGCCGCCGTACGGTAGGTGGACAGCGGCACCAGCACCAGCACCAGCACCAGCACCAGCACCAGCACACTACCAACAGCAGCGGCGAGCGCGCGCTGCGGTCGGTGCTGACGGGCGGGCAGCGCGCCGCCGAGCACCTCGAGCGGGCGCCCGCCGACCGCCTGCGGGCCGCCGTACGGTAGGTGGACAGCGGCACCAGCACCAGCACCAGCACCAGCACCAGCACCAGCACCAGCACACTACCAACAGCAGCGGCGAGCGCGCGCTGCGGTCGGTGCTGACGGGCGGGCAGCGCGCCGCCGAGCACGTGGAATTAAGAAAATACATACCTACTTGTACAACAATTAGTCCATTACCTTAAGGTTGTCTTGAAGAGATTGCTCTCAGCAATAGGACCGCCTCACTGTACTTATACAATTGTATCGTTGTGTTTGTAAATTGTCTCGCTTATTTCCTATATTGTTTAATGCAAATCAAGTATACTCATTCATTCATTCATTCAAAATAATTATAACCGACTTACCAGTGACGTAGACCAAATTCAGCAAAATATTTATGTGTAATTTCAAAAATATGTATCATGTTAGGAGTATTCTCCCTGAATTATATTTATATTGAGTATTTATTCGATACAAATAAAGTTATAGTGCAAAATACATAGTTCCCCTCTAATTCCATTCTGGATGATTTTTTGAACTTATATTTCAAACTTTCAGATCCGGCGGTATAAACGCGGACCACCTGTGTGACGAGAGGCAGAGCGGTCACGGCAGAGAAGCTAAAGTATGCTACATTTATTTACGAAATAACAATAGTATAAATTAACGTAAAATTGCCAATTCAGTATTAAATCTTTTGATATGTGTAAAAAATTGTGTGCTAAAGATGTTAGCATTTGTTGACTGACTCCTCAACATTGCGCCTGAGGGCGATGATAATATCCGATCGACTAATCAAGCATCACTATCTGGAGTTAGCATCGATCATTTTCCATATTCTTCATTGTGAAGCATGATCAATAGTTCGATTAAATTTTTTTAAATGCATCGTACACGTGCAATCTGTTATTGGATTTTACTTAGGTATATTTACAAGAAAGGAACAGATTCGCCAATACAATTTTAAATAAATTTGTGTGTGTGTGTGTGTGTGTGTGTGTAGGTCTTTAGTTCTCTATAGTATTACAAGTATAATGAAGCAGGATCCTCTATCTGTTTATCCAAAAACTAAATCTAAAATTCACATTAAGTGCATTTAGTTCTGACTTTAATTATAATAAAATTAAAAATGGAAAAGTTCTCTTATTGAAGACTCAAATGCAAACAGAGACTGAATGAAGCGAGTGAAATAGTTACAGCTCAAATAGATTTTTATTATAAAATTTAAGTGTTTTTATAAAACTATTTTAAAACATTTTACTTATTTTTTTTTATACCACAAAGGTAACAAACAAGCATTACAGCCCGTCTGATGGTAAGCGGTCACTGTAGCCTATGGACGCCTGCAACACTAGGGGTGTCACGTGCGCATTACTTACCCTGAAATCTTAATATATCCTTTTTAAAGAACCCTATAGTGTAGTCTGTAGGAAAAACCTCGGCAGGGAGCTCATTCCCCAGCCTGAGTGTTTGCGGGAGAAAATTTAGGTTCAAGCGTGTGTGTCTACTTTTTAGAAAATTATTGATTTTGATATTAACTGTCAGGCAGCTGTGATTGGTTTTGATTCCTCTGATGCTGTATAACGTTGTGTGCAGGCTCTGAACCTGGCGTCCGATCTCCGCAAGCAACTGAACGAAGTGGACTCGATCGTGAACGAGGGCGTCAAGCTGGCGGAGAAGCAGGGAGGGAAGACCATGCAGGCCAGGTAGCAGCGGTAGCACTTCTACAAAGATATAGGAATAGAAAATATCCAGTCCACATTTTATATAAGAATATAAACTTGAAAAACACATTTTTTGTTAATGGGTGATAGTGAAATGGTAACTCCGTCTGCGCTGACGGTATACGCTGGCGAGGCGCCAGTGAAGGACGATAGGTGACGATGAAAGCTGGCAGGTCAGTTAGCCCATCGTGACGAATTCCACTACAATTAACATTATTACATGTATCATACCTTTATATTAAGAAATAATAGGATCTTCATCGTGCCTCCAGTCAAATAGTTTATAATTACTCCTCTCCATCCAAAGGTTGCCTGGAAGAGATCGCTCTTAGCGATAAGGTCGCCCATTGTTTTCTCACTGTGATTGTTTCTTGTAATTGTTTATATTTATAATAAGTTTACAATTGTAATCTTTTGGAGGAAACAATAAAGAGTATCTATCTATCTATTAATCACGATGGTATTCAAGCGAAACCGCTTGGAAGTCAACCTGATGGATGTGTTGCTGGTAATGGGTTAGTTTTTTTTTTAATGGGTGATAATGGAATGGTAACCCCACCCACGCTATTTATATACACTGGCGGGGCACCAGTGAGAGATGATAGATGAGGATGAAGCAGGTCAGTTAGCGTGACGAATTCAACAAGAATTGTTCACGATGGTTTCCAGGCGGAACCACGTGGAGGTGGACCTGATAGGTTCATTGCTAGCAACGTCGAACTCTATTGCTAACAATCCTTTTTCCCCCGGTAATGGGTCAGTTAGACTCCATTACTAACAATCTGTTTCCTCCCCGTCGCGACTGTTAGCCGGTAGGCATGTTAGGTAGTGGTGTGCTGGTGCTGGTGCTGGTGCTGGTGCTGGTGATGTGATGGGCACGTTGTATGCGTGCAGGCTGGAGGCGGCGCACGCGTGGGTGATGTCGCCGGGCGCGGAGGCGGCCGTGCGCCTCGCCGCGCAGCGCGCCGTCGCCAGCATCGTGGCGCAGGGGCAGCGGGTCGGCACGCTACTACACACTAACAATCACTTACACCTATTGTATTACTTACAAATATCGACGTCCAGATCCTGGCATAGAACGTGTCACTCGTTCCTCTCCCACGGGTAGTGTAAGAGGCAACTGAGGGAACGTAGTGCTAGAGGGATATTCTCTTTTTTTTATACGACTTAGAATGGCAAACAAGCTGACGGCCCACCTGATGGAAAGTGGTAACTGTCGCCTATAGACATGAACAGCACCGTGGACATAACAGAGTATACTGTTTCGCCCATGATACCCCCCATGCGTTGCCATTCCTGAGGACTCAGGTGTTATTCCTTTGTACCCAGTAAATTTACGCCATATCCCACCCTTCAAACCGAAACACAGCCATGCAAACACAACTGCTTCCCGGTAGAAACATGAAAAGGACAGAGGTACCCAAGCAATTGAACAGAACTCTTAAAACAATATCAGAATCTAACTAATCTAATCCCAATCCGCCTTATAAGTGTGACAACTACTGATAAAAGTCCATCAGGGAGAGGCTTACGTTCATCAGTAGATAGTTAAGGGAGATGCAGTAAAAAAACAAAAAAAAAGATCTATGTTCAGCAGTTAATAGTTTTAATGAAAGTATAGTAAAAATTAAAAAAAAAAAAAAAATTATCTGACAAAAGTACAAAGTTACAGTCACAAGACATATCTGTGATTACAAATAGGAGAAATTTTTACAGAGATTGTATTTTTTTTTCTATTATAAAAAGATTTTCTAATTCTATCTAGAACATGTATTTCCTTTGTTCAGTCTTTCGAAAAAGTTTTTACATAGTTATCATTTGTAGTTACTGTTTTTTTATTGATACAGTTATTTAGTAGTTATATTTTTGCCGTTTTGTTTTTATTTTTAAATCTACTTGTATCATATTAACAGTGTGATGTTTATGTGTATTTCTGTGTGTGTATATATACATGCTTTAGTACGTACATACACATACACATACACATAATTATTACGTGCGGACATTCATACATGTTTCTTTCCTTTTCTATAATTATGTATACGTGTGTGGAACAAAGGAAGTGCTTAGTTATGCATAGAGGTGTCTGTATTTTTTTTTTTGATGGGTGAAAATGGCATGGCAACCCCATCTACGCTAATGGTATACGCTGGTAGGGCACCAGTGAAGGGTGATCGATGTGAATGAAAGCAGGCCAGTTAGCCCATCATGATGAATTCATCAGGAATTAACTATGATAGTTTCCGGGGGAACCGTTTGGAGATGGACCTGGTTGGATATATTGCTAGCAATGGGATTTTCAGTCTCTATTACTAACAATGTCTTTCCCACTCGGATGCCGGTATCGGTAACGTGCTGTAGATCGCGGACGGGCTGCAAGGGCGCGAGAAGGCGGAGATCCTGCAGCTGTGCAGCGAGGTGCAGCGGGAGGCGGACGCGCTGGCGGACCTGTGCGTCGGCGGCCGCGGCGGCGGCGACGACGCACGCGCCAGGGCCAGGTCCGTGACACTCGCCCAGCTCACGTACACTCACTCGAATAGTTTCCCATTTCCAAATACAAATTCATTTCATTCTAGACAACAAGATCTATTTCCTAAGTAAGACTTAAAATTACGCTAATGAACAAGGTTTATTTAAAAAATTACAAATTAGAATGGCAAACAAGCTGACGGCCCACCTGATGGAAAGTGGTAACCGTCGCCTATAGACATGAGCAGTACCATGGACATAACAGAGTATACTGTTTCGCCCACGATACCCCCTATACGTTGTTATTCCTCTGTACCCAGTACATTCACGCCATATCCCACCCTTCAAATCGAAACACAGCCATGCAAACAATTAATTGCTTTACGGTTGAAACACGAATGGTACACACAGGTACCCAAGCAATAGACTTTTGTACAACGTCTCTCAACCCTCAAAAATGTTCAATTGAAAGCCATCGTAAAATTTGAGAAGAAGTTTGTAATGCGGCAGGGCGCTGGCGGAGAAGCTGCACGAGCTGAAGCGGGCTATGGAGCGCGCGGTGGTGAACCGCGTCGTCGAGGACTTCATCGACGTCGCCGCGCCGCTGCGGCACTTCACCGAGGCGGTCGAGGCGCCCGAGGGTATGCTGCACGTGCCCGTCTTTTTTTTAATGGATGACAATGGTATGGCAACCCCGCCTGCGCTAACGGTATACGCTGGTGGGGCACCAGTGAATGATGATAGATGAGGATGAAAAGGCAGGTCAGTTAGACCATTGTGAATCCATCACAATGGAAACATCACTTAGAATTGAACACGATGGTTTCCAGGGGGAACTACGACGAGGTCGACCTGAAAGGACGTATTGCTAGTAATGGGGCTACTAGTCCCCCCCCCACGTACTCGTCGAAATGCACCTTATTCACTCAACGTTACACGGGATACTTCTTTGATGTCAATTTACCCATGTAAATGGTCATCGAAGAACTTGGTGTTCATCGTCTTCGTGGATGATAATAAAATGGCAACTTCACCTGCGCTCCTATTAAGCGTCGGTGGGGTATCAGTCAGGGTTGATAAATCAGGTGGCCTATCTTGGTGAATTCATCTGAGAATGACTACAACGCAGAGGATAAGATGTATCGTTAACAATTAGGCTGCGAGATTCTGTTACAAACAGTCTATTTCCCTCCGAACGGGCGGATGAAATGTTTATTTCCATTGTCATTATATAAAATGGAAGGTATAAGTGTTTGCGTGCGTGGCAGGCACGCCGGGCCGCGAGGCTTCGTTCCAGGAGAAGGCGGCGGCGCTGCAGGCCTTCAGCCAGCGCGCCGCCGCCGCCGCCGCCATGGTGGCGGCCGGCGCCGGCAGCAACAAGCGCCTCGCAGACCAGCTGCTGCACGTCGCCTCGCAGGTACAACACGCGCCACTGCACTCCTCACACCTTGTACTCGTCTTGTATGAGATCAATATGGAATGGTAACCCCGCCTGTAGTATCGGTATACGCTGGCCGGATACCAGAAGAGAATGATATGATGAGGATGGATTCAGGACAGTTAGCTCATGTTATCGAATAAGACAATGATTAATCATGGTACTCCACCATGATATATGTGAAAACGAGGCTGTTTTAATGCCGAAGAAATAGCTATTTACGTAATACTGGAATGTGAAACTGTGGTTCCTCAATATTCAGAAATTCACGAAACAGTGTGGTCGCTCCGTGAGATCTGTGAAAATCCCAGGAAGCTTCTATGCTTCTGGACGAAGCTGGGCTGGTTGTATTAGCCACGACTCATACGCACAGCAGTCCAAATGAGAGGCTAAGCCCGGGGAAAAGTGTCCAATTTACATTACATTACGAATAACCATAGAAAATATAGAGAGCAATACTGTCGGTGGATGCTCTTAAAGATTGTAGTATTGATGTTGTAAGCTTCTTGTTTGTATGTGACAGGTAGAAAAGCTGTCACCGCAACTGATCTCCGCGGGAAAAATCCGATTTCTCTACCCAGAGAGCAAGGTGAGTGACTCACTGTACTCACATAGCAGTGATGTGTACATATTAATTTTATTCATACCTATATAAAAAAGGGAGAGGCCTATCTTCAGTAACGGGCAGACAATGGCTGAGATGATGATAATCATTGTATAATCTATATTGAATAAAATCCTGTAAGTATAGAAACAACAGAAATATTCCTCAAGTTGACCACTAGATGGAGTTATTATTTTAATCTATGTATGTGCTACAACGCGATGTTAAGACTTCCTAACCTATTTAAGTTTAGGAATATATTAGAAAGAAAATGCCACCTGGTACAGTTCAAGGGCGTATTTATCTATTGAAACCTCAATTAAAACCTATATTCGTGGATGTGAACAAGGGTTTTATTTTAATTTTTTGATGTGTGAAAATGGTATGGTAATCCCCGCCTGCGCTAACGGGATACGCTGGCAGGGCACCAGTGAAGGGTGATAGATGAGAATGAAAACAGGCCAGTTAGCCCATCATGATGAATTCATCAGAAATTAACCATGATACTTTCCAGGGGGGACCGCGAGGAGGTCGACCTGGTTGGGTATATTGCTAGCAATGGAATTCTCGGTCTCCATTACTAACAATCCCTTCCCCCCGTAAATAAGGGTTTGT